GCTGTGGTAAGACCAATCAAAATCTGTTACACTCAACAAGCATCATTCTGGGACCATTTTCACACCTTCTACATATCATAAAAACCCATCAAACCCAACACCTTACATATGTAATACACTCATGGCCACCTCCAATCAACCCAAAGACACTTCCATCAGAGCCACAAAGGCCAACAACCCATCAGTAATACTCTACATGGATTACCAGCCACGTTAAAACAATTATAATCTCTTTCCTAATGCACACCTGTTCATCAGAATGAGAGCCCAACCCAGCCTCTTGATTGAGATACACATAGACTGTGAATCCAGGTTGCCCAATTTTGAACATTAAATTCAGTGGTGGGCCATTATAGATACATTTATCTGTAGGGGCTTGGTTAATTGACTCCCAAAAATTGGAGAGTCAAATCCCAAACCCCAAATGCCCCAGAAATTCCCCCTGTTGTGGTGGTGAGAGCGCGCCGCGGCCAAATCTTTGGCCAGAAGTGCATGTACAGCCCCTGGACAGAGAGATCTAGTGGACTTCTTCTTTGGATTCTAGAGTTAAAACCAATGGGATTGAAGTTGTGAGTCTGGGATAAACTATGAAAAATTAGTTCCAAAGCTTGAAATAATTTCTTGAATTTCTTGAATTGTTTGTGTATCCTCAATTCCATCCTCCCTCTTTTGATATATTAATTGATCCTTTGTATATTTTGAATTTCAATTATTGTATTCTCACCAAAGGCTATATTGTATCTTCATTACCATTCAATGCAGAAGAACTTTTTATATCTTGCTCAACTTTCACAATAAACCTTGAATGGGATAATAACCCCTAGAAAGTTGAATTCCTGTGATGGGCAGCTTTTACTCATGCAAGATCTTATAATTGGAGTAAATTATAATGCAAAAAATCTTTTTGTTTTGATGTGAACCAGAAAATAACATAATAGACAATGAAAAGAGAGTTGAAAACAGGAAGGAGAAAATGTTTTTACTTCCAAACTGGTAAACCAAGAGTGAGTGATGGTATGGATATTATAACATATAAGGTTGATCTTAGTTACTTGATAAGAAACTGAAATATGAAAGTGATTGAGGATTTGCTTTGAGAAGGGAAATTCAAAGTGAACCATTTCAATGTTGAAAACCAAGCCGGAGGAAAGCAAAAATGCTGCTTCAACGTAGGATTCATTTTATCCTATATCTGAACCCTTCAAGCTTATCCATCGCGTCTTTTTGGGTTTAAGGCTGACAAAGCTTTGGTCTTGATTGCCTGCAGTTCTTCATCTGTCAAACCAGTTCTAATAATATCTGTCATAAAGGTGCGGTCTTTGACCCGGTCCTATTTTTTCAAGAGGAAAGAATGGAATGTAAGTTTCACAAAGCAAATCATCAGGAGCATTTGATTTCAACGTTTTATTCTAGTAAGTCGTAAGCCTTGTTCAGTTCAAAATGAACGCACCAGATGTCTGAAGTAATTCATGACGTCGTCTTCATAGTTTTCATGAGTGATGACGAGCTTGTCCGATTCGCTGACGTAGTCTTTGATAGCAGCCACGGTCTCCTTTAACTTCTCATGTAGATTGACGGCCTCACGGTACGTGGGGGCATGTTTTGCCATGTCGGACAATTCTGGCCTTTCAATCAACAGTAGTAGTGGGGAAAGCGGTTTTCGGTAAAAATCTACATCAATCGATTTGCAAGTCAGTGCCAGGGTAAGCTTGGATATCGAAACAACAAATTAATCTTCTGACCAGGGTCCCAGTGTGTCCCAACCGGCCTCCCAGTTCTTGGCGGCAAGAGTTCCTGAAGGTTCCTGTGCGTCCCAGCCGGTTTCCCAGGTCTTGGTGGCAAGTAATTTTTCATTATTCTCCTGAGTTCTTCCTTGAAATATGCGTGTCCTTTGTACATTCTATTACCTTCTTCACCAATTTCCATAATCGCCTTCTGATATAATTCCCCTAGCTCTTCTTGTATGCTTAAGTTTGTAACCAGCTCGAAAAACAGATCGGTAGAGAGTATTTTTCGGCGCAATGGGGAAGCACCGGCCTTGACAAGCTCATCTTCCCAAAACTCTCGGGTTTCTTGGGGATCCCGTCTCAGTTTATCACCAAGAACTCGCATAGAAACCAGAAGTCGTTCTCCCGTGTTCGTCGGAGCTATGTTGTTGTCACCATTTGTCAATCATTTCGAGAAAGGCAAACGCGAAGCGGGCTAAAAGATGATAATTCAAACATTACTGACTCCTTGGATTGTATTTCATGTTGGTCCATCTATCCCAAGGACCCTTGAACGGTTCTGTGTATTTCAAGCAATGCGTGTGGTGAAGTCAAAGGGCAGGTACGTTAGGAACCCTCAAATTTAAAATCGGGTGGTAAGTTTACCTCTTAGCTCAGTCATGCTTGGAAGAGTGAAGCCAGGTTTATCGCGATAGGTTCTATCCTCTGTAAACCATGTCCAAAATCTGGACGGCCAAGGTTTTTTTGGTTCCGAAGCAACGAATATTTTACCCAAGGCTTTTGAGATAGAACATTTGTCAGAAATCATTTTTGTCTGAGACTAAACCAGAAAGTTAAATTTTCTTCCACTTGATCTCTGATAGAAAACTTACGGTGTTCGGGCTTGCGACTCCTTGTCATCCATTTCCAAAACCTGACTAGCATAGACCAGAAACCCTTCTTTTTCTTCTCAGGCTCGGTGGCTTGAGCGTGAGGAGCGACTTCAATCTTGGGTGAAGCAACAGGAGGCGTGTGAGGAGCTTTCGTATCGGCAGCCGATTCCAACAGCGGATTCTTTTCTTGTGGAACTCTGTCGATTTTTCCTTTGTCGAGATCAGCACCTTTAAGTCCATCACCGACACCAGCGGCGATGTCAAGGTCACGGAAGACCCCGTTTGCGGACGTATGGTTAGCTTTTGAGAGAAAAAGCAGCACCAGCTGACTGATAATAAGCCAGCGTCCAAGTCGTGCATAGCACGACCGACAAAAGAATGACTTCATTAAGGAATAAATAGTATGAGACTCGAGTAGGTTAGAGAAGAAAATTGGATGATGCTTGGAATAGATGGGGACTTCGTGCGAGAAACGGGCGAGTGGACAGAGAACGACAGAAGCCAGGAGGGAGTTGTTATCCTAGCTTCTAACTGGGTCAATTCGTACGAAGCCGGGAAGTCTTCATTCTCACAAACCAGCAGCCAGTGTATGCTGTATTTACAAAGGCCGTCCATGAATCATGTTCCCAAAGTTTGAATCAAAAAAAGCAGCTTGACGCCGTCGCTGAGTCTCCAAAATGGCTTCAGTCTGCAACAGCACGGCGTCCATTTCCAGAAGTACGAATGTGAAGCGTGAATCCTGTTCTGAACCTTGTCCTCCGGCTGGTTCCTACCTGCCTCGCCGAGGGAACGAGTTCATTGCTATACTGCGCGATCGACCATGCCAAGGACGCAAAACAAGACACTCGAAGCACCGACAAATAGAGGTGCAACATCGCCGAAAATTGATTTTGCCCACAACCCATACTTTCCAAGACCTATTCATGCCGATTTCGTGCCTCCCTCACTCCCTCTGGAGGGGAACTGAAGAGTAGTAGTAAAGGTTTTCCCGTAATACTTAGAACAGGCAACCTTTCCTCTTTTGGAAGCATTGAACCCATGGCCCCTTATTCAAAACTCATTCCAAAAAAAGCTGATTGTCATCAGAAGTCCTCCAATGTATCACTTTTAACCCCAAAGTAGATTTTATTTGTTTTGTTTCTATGATTGTGTGTATTTTTGGAACACAAACCATTATTGGGGACAACAATGTTGATATGAAGATACCTCAGCATAAAAACATCAATCACTTTTGGCTGGGACTGTGTTTATGCTATGCATTTATAATTATGTGGTCAACTTTCAACACCACTATGGGTTGAGACATATAGACCAACAAATTGTGCAAAATCTTCCTTTCAATAGGACAGTTCACAGTTGAGGTTGAATGCTGCTGGTTTGCTTGCAAAGTGTTGCTTGCTGGTTTTGGAAATCTACTATCTCAGAAGAATTTTAATGTGAACCCCCCTAATATATAGATAATAGGGGGTTTCACATTGGAAATTCTTCAGCAACACAAGAATTTCAAACCAGTAGGGCATTCAAGGTTCTGGCTGACAAGTGCAACTTCCAGCCAATTTTGATTTCATTTTGGTATCTTTAGTGATCTACCTATACAATGGTTTGTCTTGAACAGGTTGAACAAAGAACAAAATATTATCCAAGTGATTTCATTCAAACTCAGTGGGGAGATACCAATCGGACTTGAGCATACCAATGTCAGATGACTTATAGATATGCTACCATTCCCGGCCAGACCCCCAGTTGTCAGGCTCGGCGATGCCAAGGCAATAGGCCTTCTAGCTACGTCGGCTGATGGGTGGTTTGGGTAAGCAAATGAGAGAGGAAAATACCGAGGGGCCCAGATCTTTGGGGGTTTTTACGGTGCCCTCGGGGATACTAGCCTAGGTCTCATATAAAGACTTGGTAGCGGCTACTACGGGGTCTCGAAGATACTCGAGGGTATTTGGTCCGCGTATCGGAGTGATGGACAGAGGAATAACCAATAAAGGTAACCCCTAGCAACAAATCCTGGCACTTACAGGGTGGATCTGTGGTGCTCTGAGTAGTGGAATGAGGGTTGGAAAAGGAGGCAAACTGGAAAAGGATGAGGAAAATTACTAAGCTGGTAAAACTGATGATTTCTACCTACCTTGTTTACTGGTTCTTTTTATACTGTAGGTACCAATACTGGATGCGGGAAAGGGAACTAGAATTCACCGGGAATCTCTGAGAGTCTGGAATGATGTATAATTTTCCAGGAGATTTGACAGGGGAAATCTGCTCATCTCATGTCACAGTCTCCTGTCATGATTTCTTTTAATATGTCACTAGTTTCCATAAATGACATCTTATGTCATTCATTTTTTGTAATATTATTTGATTATTAAAGCTATTACTTAATATTTTTAGTTATTTATGGAAATATTACAGGTCAGCTTGACTCTGTAATAGTAGCAAGCTGACACAAAACCAGCAAGCAGGACAAGCAAGCAAACCAGCAGCACTTGACCACAAATGTGAACCATCCTAATACATAAATAGTTCAAAGAGAAAGAAGGTGACAATTCATGAAGGATTTGTAGCTACATATAGTCCTATCCATAAAGCTTGCACCATTCTGAAAATTTTCATTTCAATATGTATATAGAACATCCTGAAAATCTTTTCTACCCTACAGTATCCCACCCTTTGCTTGTCCCTTCCCTGCTGCTACCCAGCAACCCAAGGCTTGGCTGTGAACGGCCTACCCCCAACTGACCAAGTGCAACAATTTGGAAGGTGTGTTGAGGGTGGCTTGGGAGTCAAATCTTGCTCCTGGTTCCAAAACTGAACCCAGATTTCTAATCGCTTCATTCACAAAAAAAAAAAAAAACTAACAAGAAATGTAGGTTTCAAGATTGTCTTTGGCCTTGGGTCACCCTAGACACTTGTCTAAGACAAAATTCAAAAAATCTAAGCTTGTGAGGGAAGATATGGGAGTGATCAAAACAAAAAGAAATCTGATCAGTCCAAGCTTTCTGGAAAAGACATGAGAATACATGCTCAAACATCAATTCATAGATGACTTTTGGCTTGGACCTGTTTACATAATCCTAGCCAAGATCATTGGTGATTGATTCTATTTTTACACATTGATCCAGTCAACTTTGAACCCCACAACAAATTTACCTGCTCAGAATCACAAACACAAAGCCATGAATGATTGTAGCTGGGATGATGACATTATCGGATAAGCAAGTCCCCTCCAAAACTGTGTTTAGGATTATGATCATGCATTTAGACAGCGACTTTGAACCCCCCTCTCTTATTACATACATATATTGTATGTGGCAAGAGAGATATAAAACCTGGGTTTTTTCTAAGGAAACAGAGGGAAGAAAGAGGCAACAGATCTCTAACAAACAAAGATAAAAAAAAAGTGGGATAGAGGATGTGAATTAGAGGTTACAAATGTTGAACAAAAGAGGATTTTAAATTCTCTTTATATCTACACAGATAGATATATATATATATAACAATATATATAAAAAACGACCATACATGGCTGAATACCAAAAAAAAAGGATACATAGTATCAAAAAAAAGAACAATTAGGACAGGACAGAAAAAGAAAGATAACAGGTGTGTGTGTATTTGCAGAAACCAGAGACGAGACAGGTCAGGCGTGGAATAAGTGGTCTAGTGATCCTCCACTGGCTAGGATTTGACGGGCTCGAGAAAACTCGGCTTTGATTTCATCCAGCACTTGGATCTTGATGTTCCCAGCCGTATTTCTAGATCAACCCCAAAACAAAACACAAGACAAAAAAAACAAGATCAATAACTTTGAATCTGTGACGAAAAAAAAAGCAAACCAAGACAAAAAAAAAGGAAAAAGAAGAAGAAAAACCGGGAAATACCTTTCGTATAAGAAGGGATCTACGACGACGATCGGATGAGGCCATTGGAGTAAAGTAGGCTCCCTATTATTAGGATGAGCATGGTGATGAGGAGGGTGTCCTTCGAGGGAAGAAGGGAGGGAAGAAGAGAGTGATGCGGAATCCGAGGAAGGACGAAGTTCGGAGTCCGAGGAGACAGAAAGAGGTAGTTGAGGATGCAGTGTGAGGGGGGTCGACGAGGGCCGATGGTCGAGGTTGAGAGCATTGGATTTGAGGAGGTTGTTATTGTGAGAAGGTGAGCGGGAGCGGTCGGCAGAGACCCGGGTAGAGTCCGACGAGCTCCCATCTTCTCCGTTGATCTTCTGTCCCGGGCCCCGAGACACAGTCCGAGACCTCAACGCTTGCGAGTCGAGCTCTCGTTGGACGGCCTCTGGAAGCCCTTCTCGACAGGCAAACGGGATGTAAGTGATCTCGTCCTCCTCGTCCGAATCCGACGATGGATATCGCTTCTTGTTGCTCAGATCCTCCTGCAAGCCCGCCAGCAATCGCTCCACATCTCGCGCCCGATCTTCATCGTCTTCTTCTTTGGCTCCAGTCTGGTATCGTCCTCCTTCTTGGGACTGCGGGACCCCGGAATTCGACTGACTTCGCGCGATTACAACCGTCGGCTCCCGTCGTAATGGTTTGCCATCTCGGATCGAAATCAGATACGATTCAAAATCAAATCGATCATAAAATTCGAAAAACCCAAGCAAAAGTTTCGAGATTAACTCGCATAGAGCATTGCGATCCTTGAGCGAAGCGGTTGAAAAGGTTTGATTCCAATGGAATGACTCGGGTGGGGAATTGACAAAGCTAGCGTTAATACCCACGAGTGCGCTTGGCGGTTTATAGGTAGTAGAAGCCGTCGTAGTAGTCGTATTGGGAGGGTTTGAGGGTTTTTTCGGTTTATTCAGTCGAGTCTGAGGGGACTTTTTAACGTAAATAATGTCAGGGCTTGAATGACCAAACGCGCGTTGTATATATTCTGGATCCTGAAGATTAGGGAGATGATTGATGACTTGCAGATATCCGATTAGGAGGAGGATGAGTGTGTAAGAAGAAGCTGAGATGGGACCTTGGCTGCCCGAAGGATCACAGTAGCCGCGTGCTTTAGCCCACTGTTTGATGACCATTGCGAGTGGCCTGAAGATCAGGGGAGAAGAGAGGTCGTGATAGGCTTTGATCAACTTGGAGTTCCGACAGCCCAAGAGATTGTTGCAGTTGAGGTCGACAGAGAAGAGGCCGTTTGGGCTGCGGAATTTGAGGATCGGTGTCTTGGCCAACGGGATCGGCCTGACGTCGATGAACTGGGCATAGTTGAAGATGTGTGAGAGTAGTTTGACGTTGTAGACCTTGGGCAATGCCTTCGGAGTGCTGCAGTCTGCCTCATCGAGTCCCTGGGGTCGGTCTGGATCGAGGATACAGATGTCTAAGTCGGAATCTATCGAATCTAATCCGAAGCTGATCGAGCCAAATACTTGGAGCGTGTAGGGCTGTGAACCGGGTGGCCTTTTTCCGAGCTTGGAACGATTGATGACCTGCGAGATGAAGTGCACTAGTTTTGATCTTTCGTTCATCAGATGTGCGTCCGGTGTTAAAAGCTGTATAGATGATACCAGCAGTCAAAGTCAGAGAAAAAAAAATCAAAGAGGCAAAAAAAAATGCCCAATATTGATTAGAAATAAATTTCACTGACACGAACGTATTCGAATATTTGATTGCCAACGAGCTGGAATTGTCGCTGAATGGGTAAGAGGGGTCCTGAAGGATGGTCATTGGTGGTAGACAGTAGCGGTTTGTCCATAGTCTTCTTAGCTTTTCCCTTGGTGGGGGGATTAGCAGCAGAGTGAGGGGTGAGACTGATGAGAAGAGGAGCTTGGGCGTTTTCGGACGAGTCTTTGGTATTTTGGGTCTGTCCAGCAGGCTTGAGGGCTTGAAGAGAATGGATGAGTTTAGATTTCTTCTTGCGAAGGGTTGGAAGTGAGTTTGCAGGTTGGCTGATGGTGCTGATGGAGTGCTGATTGATATTCTGCTGGATGTTGGTGTTGGTTATAGCCTGATGGTGGGATGGGGTGAGTGGTAATCGAGTCCTTTTCTGGGCCTGGTTGGATGGCATAATTTTTTGGGAGATGTTGCTTGAGTTCTTGAGGAAGTGGATTGTTTGGATGGGAGAAGATGAAGATGAGGTTGGGATCTGATGATGATGGATGGTCAACAGCCACAGGTTGTTGGGTGTGCTACATATATGTATGCGGCTTAAGTAAGCAAGTACCCTTCCTGTTCTTCTTTCACGTGGACGTTCCCTTTTTAGGTTCACAGCAGATTTCAGTTGAGACACTCTTTTCCAAGCAAAAGCTGGACTCAGCTTGGCTTGGCTGAGGAGAACTTTTGGCTCAGAGCGTCATGGGCTGCTGCCATGAATACACAACTCGGCAAATCAGTTTACCCTTTCGACCTGATCATCAGCAGCCAACGGGCATGGCATTTTTACGTGCTTGTTCCCCAGCTCAACAGTTTAGAACACAAACAAACCACTTCAAACAGTTCTTCAATCAACCTACCGCGGAAACCACTTGACACATCATCATCAGCAGCTAATTATCCTGATCTCTCGATCGAACCTCGTCGAAACAACTCAAGTTCAGTGGTTGAGGAACCAAGCCCAGTTAAACCCCCCACAGTCAATCATGAAAAACCATGATTGCCCGAGATCTCTGAACAGTTCAAAGAGTATCATAAGCATCTAAAACACCGGGTGGGGTATCCAGAAAGCCAAAAAAAAAGCGATTCCTATTTAATCCCTTATCACGCCCTGACACTGTAGACGTACACTAGATGAAGCTCATATAATAGGAAATCGTTATCTAGTTGACTTCCCTACGCATTTTTTAATTTGGAGTACAATTCTTTTTACTGTAAACATTACAATACTGACACATCACAATACTGACACATCATCAGCAAGTAAGACCAACAACCCAAAACAAAGAAGGTTCAAAATCTTGAGGTAAATCTTCTTCCCGTTGATGGCCCCCGCGGAGAGCTCCACGACCACAACCCATAAACTGTGCATTTTTTTTTTCTTTTTTGCTTGGTACTCATGATCAAGTTGTGTATAAAGACACCGGTTAACCTTTGATAATGATACCACAAATTGTCGGGAGATTTCTATTACCACACCGGTTACGCAGCGGGGCGAGTGGATCGCCTCGGTGAGGAAGCGATTTGACGCGCTAGTGGCCCCGGCCCCCGCCTGACCTTGCAGGTATTAGTTGAGGCTCTCAGCGGGCCGCTTCCCAAACATGACACGAGGGCACCCCGACAAATATGCTATGTATGCGGTCGGGGCGCAATCAGTCCGCTGCTTTTGCATAGCTGTCGTCACTTCTCCACCACATAAGGGCGGTTAAGATAAGCGGATTCACAAGACAGATCCGGACCCCGGTAGGAGTAGAGTATATTATGGCCAACACAGCGAAAGATGAGTGTCTTGTGTGTACGCCAGCCCAAACGTCGGTGCAACCCGTTCCAAAAACCTCATCTTCCCGGGTTCTCAGCGATCCCCATCATCCAGAAAAAAAAGACCATTCAAATCACCAAGAAATGAACAAAGTGTCTTTCTTTTTTTTTCAACCGAAACAAAGTTCTTCCTGGCGGTGATTGAGAGAGAGAGAGATTGAGAGAAAAAAAAAACAATGATTGCCTCCAAGAAGCCTGCAGCACGGGGCGAGCTCAATGTGTTGTTGGGGCCAAGGCCTGCAACGACGTGTCGCTGCGCTACCCCCTTTACACTCAAGGGGGATATTGAGGGTGGCGCCCCTCGCACCTGGTTCGTCCCGTCTACAATGCGGTCCAACTCTTCATGGCTTGCCTCCGCGGAGCTTGGACAGATCCAATCGCCCCCCCCCCCCCCGCCGTAAGTCGGCGACGGATCTTGACAAAGTTCAGACTCATCAAGGCGATCATCAGCTGATCATGATACATACATCTGTTTTTTTTGGTGATGCCGGACATGAAACCTGAACCCAAGTCTAGTGTCTTGAGTCTTGACTCCGGAATGACCAAACCCTCTTCATCTTGGTAACATAAAAATATATGTGTCCAAAGGCCAAGGGAGTTAGAGTTTTTTTTTTCGGAACCTTCCCGATTAATGATCCAATGAGTCTGATTAACTGGAACCTTGATAGCATATTCTTATGAGACTCCCCCGTGCTAGTGAACACCCGGGAACAGATATTTAAGGTTGTATTCTGCAAATAATTGTATCAATAAACTTGAGGGATGGAGCATATTTATTTTGAGATGAATCAATACACAGGAATCTTTTTCATATATGTCCCTAGTCTTACTTTGCATCTCAAGAAGCTCGATCTCCATTTGGTCAGACTATGTAGAGTCCTCAAGCTCTGAAAATTGTTTCCAGATCTCGGGAAAGGTTTCCATAATTGTTAGGTTTTCAAGCAAAAACTATAGTTTTTTTGCAGGGACATAAGACAAAAGGAGAATACATTTTCTTGTGTGATAATTTATTTTATTACATACCTTTTCATTTTTTTTAAATTTTTTTTTTTTTTTTCATGGAGGACATTTTCAGATTTGTCTGGAATTTTGACAGTGTGGTTATTTGTAGGGGAAGGGGTTCTTGTTTAATATGTCTCCTCTTGCTTGAAATAAATGGCACATCAGTTTCAATAATTATGAGAAACTGCACCATGGTCACTAGAAGTTGAAGAATTTCCTGATATGACAGGTTGTTATGGGTGTTCTGGGGAGAGCAGGTGGGGATCTTCTGGGTTCTAGTTCTTGATGGTAGATTGCAAGATGAGGAATGTACACCGTGGGTGCAGTCGGGCAGCCCAGGGATAGCCCTCCTGTGGGCATCTCTCGGGTATCCCCAACAACCAGGATAGGCATCCCAGGGTCAATCCCCATGCCAAACAAAAAAAAATATACATCCCCTAGCCGTCTACCCCAGCCGCCTGTTGTGACAAAGTCATAAGGCTTGACTGCGACACATGTCATAGATTTGTAGTTAGACTATATGAATGATTTTCATGACTAAAGGAATGAAAATCATCAATCTCCTGAGCTCTCACTCCAACAGGTTATGAGCCTCTCGCTGGAGTAGCTCGACAAACAAAAACCTCAAGAAAAATCAACCACCCAACGACCAGCCATAGACGAGTTATAGTAGTTCCTCCAGAACGAGTTCAACCATCAGTAGCCTATCAAAAGGCGAGCCAAGTAGTCGGCCGGCGGCAATTTTTTTCTCTCTCTCTCCCCTTCTCCCACATCACTTCCTACAATTTCTATCACCCTTCACTCCTACCCGACCAAATCCGACTCAAGCTGTGATTGACAAAGTAAGTGGGGATACAGCATCCCAATGCTACAACAAGGATGGCCTCTCGTATCAGAGTGACCCACCGTCGGCTAGGCACAGCCGTATTCCCCTCTTCCACAACCTTCTTGCCTTGTCATCTCTTGTGTGTTCCACCAACGCTCTTAGTGTCTCAAACACTGCGACCTGTATTGAAATTAGCACCCAATAAGCCAGTACATGATCTCGTCGCGTAGTATCAAGGGAGGAAAACGACACCTTGCGAGCACAATAACATGTATTCAACTATAGAAAGCAGACGGACTATGAACAGAGTATGAAGGAAGATTGAGGGGAAAGAAATGATTATGGACAAATTAAAAACAAAATACGTGAAGACAAGATCCAAATTAAGAAGGCAAGTGAGGGAACAGAAAGGCAACAGGTATGTACAGTTTACACAAAGAGAAAATGTATACACCAACATGGTGAGATATGTAAGAAAGATGACAGCCAGCTCCCTGACCTCAGCCCTGGAAACTTACCACGCTACGCTGCAGCCAACATAGAGTCCTTGGTCTCAGCATTATCACCCGCGGCCGCAATCAAAGTCTCCACCTCCTGGTTTGTTGGCAGTTTGACTGGGGTGGTGTCCATTCCAACAAAAAATTGGGTGCCATTGAATAGGGTTGGGTCTAGCCTCAAAATGAACTCAGTGCTTGTTGGGTCGACACTGTTGTTTGGCTGGTTTGATCTCTTACTCAGATTCACTAGAATTGAGGCCATCCTTGTTGAAATCTTCACTTAGGAGGTTTTGGGTAGAGATTGTTTGTTGGTACCCTTTGCTAGGTACCTAGTACCGCTTGGCAAGTACCACCCGCACCCGCCAGGCGGTGCCGGGTGCCGTTTTTTTGGCAAAAAATTAGGTGGTACCCGGGTACCGCCCCACAGCCCTGCTATAGGGCAGGGGGGGGGGGGGAATCGGCTGCGCAGGGGTGGCAGTTGTTTCACCTCTTCCGGCCGAGCTGATTGATTGGTCAACATTGATCAATATCAACACCACACTCAAACTCTCCCCCCCCTGGCCAAGCCAATTGATCCGTATCAACCGACTACATGTCATACAAAAAGGAACAAGGATAAAAAAATTCACATCAATCATCGGCAATCACGACCCAGATGGCTTGCGCGCGCAACCGACGGAGGTCCAACAAGTCTTGCTGTCATTGCTGTCGCTTAACTCAAGCCCAACCAGCTCAATCTCCTCTTACCCATTGATGGAGTGCCACTCCAATGCCTCGCCCTCTAACAACTCTCCACATGACGACTCTTGTGATAGCTCTTTTATGTGTTCGCCTCAGATTGCTTGTCCTAAGAAGAGCTCCCATTCGGAAATCTGACCTGCTTGTTCCACCGACATGAACCAAGACAACAGTGTCTCCTTGGTTCAGATGTCAAGGAACATGTAAGCCTCTTGACAGTCTCCCTCTTTCTTTCTCCTCAACAATTAAGGACACCCCTACAACAAGCTAACCTCCTGGTAAAGAGTTCTTTACAACATCCGATGGATATTTTTTGTCACCCTTTTTTTCCAGATCTTTGTTCCATTTTCTTTAGTAATTTCATCCTGTTTTATCCAAGCCGTTTCTTCGTTTGGTTGTTTTTTTTTTCTTCTCCTCTTTCTTCTGTTTGTTTTGTTATGTTTTCTTAGCACTCAACGATCCCCCACCTCCTATGTCAGCCTCTGGGTAACTAGCCTGAGTATTTAATAGTAAAAAGGTTGTTACTATGAGTTGACTGAAGTTTTTGAGCGTGGTGAGTGTTAGGTAGTGGGTGATTAATACCAATCCTATAAAGAGGAGGTTTCACTCTATCAGTATGGTCTTTACTGAGAGGCTTGCTATCAACAGCGCATCCGGATCAATACAAGGTATTAATAGGCATCCAGGGTACTAAGACTCACCTGGGATTGATTTGGTTATTCCCAAAAGGGAATGGGCTAACAATACTTATTAAGCTTTAACAAAATTAGTTGAAGATTAACAGGTATTGTTGATGGGAATATTCAGCAAGGCTATGAATATTGTGGATAAGTTGAGTAAGAGTACTGAAGCTTAAGAACAATAAATGTAGACAAGATTTATGTTGGTTACGTGTACTGTATCAATATAAATGTTAACTGGTTTAACTGGTGTCTGAATATTCTGGGGATTAATCAGTGGAAGAGGCACGGATTATAAGTTCCAGAATATTGAAGGGGGGAAAGAATGAGCGCTCAGAATCAAGGGAGATTTGGCCAGGAGAATGAGCACATCAATTGAGTGACTGATCATTATTTGTCATGATCTGTAAGTGACATCATAATTGTGTACTAGTTGATCAATGTACTAGTAGCTCTTGATGTGTGTACTTAACAGATCCTATAATAATGTAGTCATAATTGTGATCAGTGCATGTATTGAATGTATTAATTCTATTGACACTTAATACTTACTATTTAATACATGTACATATTTATTTGTAATAATATTTGACCGTGAAAATACTGTAGAACAGGGATAACTTGTGGTACAGGTATTTCACGGACAAAGGAGTGAAAGGTAAGTGTTAATTACTTATGTAGAACACAGGTATGTATTTAATAGATAAGTAATTAACAGATAAGATAAATGTAAGATAAATAAGATAAGTTAATGATAATGATAAGATAACAAGAGGTAAAGGCAATCAACATTATGGATAAGTACTTATGTACATAAGTACAGGTGTTGCAGTTAATTGGTACATGAAAGGTACTGTGACATGTACTCTGTGGCTGACATCCTAACCCAAGTCTGTTCTTGATGATTCCATAACTCCCTTCCGCACTTCTTGACAGAAAAAAGACAATAACATATTAATTCTCACCTTCTTTTGTATCCAGTTTGTGCCATCCTATTTACATCTTTTTTTTTGTGAAGCTGTACATACAGTTTCTTGTAATTCTGATCATCCTGTTTCACCACTTGCCTCAGATTCATTTGTGTGAACAAAGTCCAATGGGGCTTTTGGTCCTCTGAAGAGATTTCCTAGTTCTCTCTATGGTTCTTCTCTAGGTTAAACCAGCCAAGTAAGCTATGGATAAATACCCTGCAATATCCTCCAACTTGGTGGAATGCCACCATGCTAATGATAGAGGCAACCCAAACAGGTCATGAAGATACATGTAAAAGGGATTTTTGCCTCCAGATAGAATAATTTTCAACAAAATTGAAAAAGTGACCTTAAAAAATGAAAAAAGTGACTTGCAAATCTGGGAGTGAAGACCAAAAACAATAAATAAATATGAAAAAAATGAAAACATGTGACTAAAAAATGAAAAAAAGAGAATTGGGACTCTGGGAGAGAAAACAATAAATGTGAAAAAATACAAAAAGTGAATTGAGACTGTGGGAGTGAATCTAGGTGAGAAACAGAGGGGTGGTATCCGCGGTGCCCGCCAAAAGTACCGCCGGTACCTGCCAGGAGGTGCCTGGTGCGGTACTTGGTACCTATTTTCTAAAAAAGTTCAACAGGTACCTAGGTACCAACAGGTACCTGAGTACAAACAAACGATCTCTAGTTTTGGGTTATTTGGTGGCTGTAAAAAAATTGTTGTCATGTCTTGAAATCTTTGTCTTTGAAAATAAAATTGGGGGCCATTTCTGGCGAGCAGAATCAATCCGATGTGGTTGAAAAGATTGGTCAGAGGATTAAGTGGTTATGTACTCCTGGGTTTACACCGTACTGATGCGGTTGACAGCCTGGAGTAGCGCTAATCCGCTAATCCGCAACTTAGTCCCGCACCAATGTGGTTGTCCTAACAAGGCTTGGACTGTTGAGAGTGAGGCTGGGGGAATGTCCCTTGGCCACGCATGGGTTTCCCGGAGGGGTTCAATAATTGGCATTGGCATGTCAGCCTGCAAGCATGCCAGGTGCGTCCATCAGCCATTGGCAGCAAGAGGATATGCCCAGTGGGTGAATGCTGCAAGGGGTCGTCCAGGTGTTGGCAAGGGGTCAACCTGGTGGGGTGTGGGTAACCGAGGGGTGTCAGACAACCAGCGGGGACGGCCCTGGGCCGCTGCCATCCCAGGGCTGACTGACTTTTGCCCAAATGCGCCCGCGGTGTACAAGGTGTGGATCTTGAACAAACTCCAAGCTCAAAGTTTGTGACATGTACGTAACAGGATCTCTACATATGTAATGTCCCCAGTTCCAGTCCTCACAGCTCATAACACAGGTTAATATTCAGGATCACTGTCTCCACTTGACAGGCTTTATCCTGTATGTAAGTATCAACCTGATTTAGAGACCATGGTGGATTTTATTAAATGATGGAATCAAGACTGAACAGATATGTTGGGATTTTTCACACAGACAGAGTATATTTCTTCTTAATCTTGGAGACTAACTTGCTTCAAGTTGAATAATCATTTTTATCAAAAAAATGATCATCAATAACATATCAGATGAGTTGATTTGCACCACTGGTACAAAGACTACTGAAATTGAATCAAAGTTATTTAAACAGTGGAGAAAGAACAAAGGTTTTGAAACTGTCAAGTGACATGTGAAAAACTACAATCAAGAATCAAGACATTAAACTACACTCAATGTTTTTTGTTCACACTCAATTTCATATTTTTTTTAGGATTCAGAAGTAGTTGAGCTGGGTTCAGGGTGAGTTTCCAACTCCAATTTGATTCCACTCATTGCTTTGTCATCATTTTCACCAGAAACTAATAATTTCATCAACAAGATCACCAGGTAGTTTAGAATCCATCATTTTTCTAATCCAATGCAGAAATTACTCACATTTTTGTTTCTTTTTTCTGGATGATTCCTTTCCAGACTGATGTTCACCTGTGGGTGACAAAGACAGATTTGATATAGGTTTAATCACAGATGTACAAATACTAGAGTTTTCACACAGCAAAAACTTACTGGGTTGCTTATTTTTATTTAACAGTGAACTTGAGGCCAATGTTCTAGATTTGTGGCTGTCTAAATTGTTTTTTTCATAGAAATAAGTATCAACCTCTGATTTGAAGTTAAAATGATTGATTCTCTCATTAATCTCTTTTTCAATTCCCATGCTTTCAAAATGTGGTAGATTTGGTTCATTCCATGGAAACACTTTCAATTTTGACCAATCGTCTAGAAGTCCACAAATTGACATGTTTGTTTTGAATTGTCTAAGTCTTAGGAGAGCAAAAAGCTTTACCATTTGAAAGTTTTGTGGGAATAATTCAATCCATTTAACTGAGTTGGTTGTTCTGTAGTAATTTTCCAAGGTTTTCAATGTAAACTTTGTTTTTTCAGCTTCATAGTAGCTGACTGGCTGAGGCTTTCCTTTTGACCTATTTTTTCTTGTTTCCCAGCCTATAATGGAGTCCAGCATGTTTCTCCTTTGAATTCTTTCCAAATATTCAGAAAGTATTACTTCAGATGAGGATGGACCACCTGTTTTGCAATTTGAATCCCCTGATTCGATGCAATTTGATGCTTCAGAAATAGTTCCAAATTGTTTCGAGAGCCATTTGAGGAGGCTTTCTTGCTCTGTTGAGCTCAATGTCAACCTATCTATTTCAGTATACGCACTAGAGTAGTGATTCTCCGCAGTGGAAGAGCTGGTAGTGAAGAATGCCAGAAATTGAGCATTGCGGTAGAATATCTCTGTTAGTAAGATCTTCGCCATTCTACAAGCGTCTGCTTTTTTAACCTGTTGTTCAGATCGAATAATACTATCCTGCACTTTTTTCATCAATTTGGACACTTCCTGTGTAGGTGAAATTTTTTTCCAGGACTTGTCTTTTTGGAAAACCGGAATGCAAAGCTGGTTCACTTTCCAGTTTTTTGGCCTAGGGTAGTTGAGCAAACTGACCCATCCGAATAGCTTCAAGATGAAGTCTTCGGGTAGCTCTTCTGGGGGATTCTCCGGGCTGAAGAGTGTTCGACACCTTTTCAGTGCATTTGATTTCTTACGACGTTGAATATCATTTCCCCCTATTTCGACATGTATCTTAACCTTTTAATACTGTGGAAGTGGGAAATTGAAGTTCCAAGAGTTGCGGGGGACAGAAAGTGACTTACTCAACGGGCTACTGATCAGGTGGTCGGAGGTCTGATTCTCCACGCTCTTTGCTTCTGAAGAAATGGTTTCTGGTAGCTGGCTTGCATCCAAGCTCGGAAAAAAGAATTCGTGAGAGTGTGGATAGAACCACCGTTCATATTCCTCAAACTCAGCAGAACCGATGATGCCGTAATCTTCGGCTTGAAGTGCAAAGGGTGAGTCGACGATCGGGATCATGTAGTCGTTGATAGGTGCATGCTCTGGTGCTTCTTGGATCAAATCCCCATCAAGTTCAGGATCCCACCTCTCAGTCTTTATGGGCTTTAGGATAGTTGCTTCGGTTGGCAAGCAAATGGGTTCCATCAGGAAAAGTAGTATGGAGGAGCGCGACGGTGAAAACAAGCAAATTTTTCATCATTTGGCGGCTTTCTTCAAGAATATATTCAATAGACCGTGATACTTTAACGTTTCTAGCGAGTAAAGTTGAGAAAAAAAGGGAAATAGAATAGAAAGAGTCCCCGGTATGACTCACAAACAGACTGCCAGTTCGTTTTGTGATTTTCATCCCTGTTGACCATCGGCGCCTAATTCCGTGTAAGAACTCCGGAATCAAAAAGGCGACATTTGCCTTGGGTGTAACCTTGCCTCAAAATGACAACATACAGGCAAAATTCACCCCAGACCAGACCAGTGCCAGTGTTCCATCGCCGTTCCAGTCACAGTCCTGACTTCACCGTCACAACACTTATCGGTTCACCGAGGAACATTTCCAATGTCTAGACCGTCATCATGCAATGATGTGCTGGATCTGAGGCCTGACAATTCACCTTACAAGAGTCGAAACCCATAAATCCTTCAAAAGCATATTTGATGGGCGGAAGTGTAGCAACTATTATCGTGCATAGTCGCCACGTTGGGTTTTGTGAGTGGGATAATATCAGTAGTACTCATGAACCTTGTTCAACTCAACTTCCTCAATTAGACACCCCAAAGTTGAATGCATAGTTTGGGATTAGCAATGGCAAGGAAAATCTCCCTAAGTGATGCTAGAATCTCTAAGTATTACTAGGCTTATACAGAACCCTGAACTCACTGTGGACTTTGTGGCAGGTCATTATCACAGAGACCTGGTGAGAAAGAAATTCAGCATTTTGTATCACAAATTGAGGACTGTTTGTGGTTACCTTGAATCTGATTCAAGAGAAGCAGAAATTTGAATATATTTCCCAAAGCCATTCAAACCCATTTTGTTCCAGGAGAATGATGGAAAAGATTCCTATGATATACATATTCTATCCCAACATTTGAGATTTTTTTCTGGATTTGATGTAATTAAAAGTAATCCACCTCATCTAATTTTCAGGATAAAGATCTGATGAGATGAGAGGCATCATGAAGGTCTTCTACTCAGGCTGTAGATACTTTGTTATCCACATGCTGTACATCCAGCTCACTGTCCTAATTTGCACGGAGTGCCACACATACATGTGTGTATTAGGCTCAAGTTGTTTCACCCCAGATAAGAGTCCCATTTGGGCACAGTTTGATCAGTGCAATATTTTCAGCAGGTGTCACCAAGACAATGTGATGCTATTTGGACAAAGAAATTTCATTTGTAAACATGTAATTCTGTCTGCTATAAAAATGACATGTGAAAGTCTTCAAGTTTTCTCTCTTCATCTCTCTTTTAGCCATGTAAGAGCAACTCCACCTTGGGCCATAAATTGGGTCTGTATGTGGGATTTACGGACTCCACACGACCCACCACGCTCCCTAAAATCTACGGTAGTCCGTAAATTCTCCTCCCAAGTCCTCACATGCAACAGTGGGCCAGTTACACTAACCGTAGTGTTAGTGTAGTGGGATTCCGCTAAACTTATAGCGTAGTGTAGTGGAACCCCAAAGAAGGGCCCACTACGCTACGCTAACATGCTGGTTAGCGGTTCTTTGGCCCTGTAGTGCAGCGTAGCGTAGCAAAAAACCGCTAACACTACGATATTTTTGGCGCAAAAAAAGCACCGCTATGCTATGCTTTTTGGGCCAAAAGCGTAGCGGCCCACTGCTGTCACATGTAGGGACTCCTAGGGACTCATCTACGGCCTCCAACACTTTCACACAAAAATGTGTGAAACCCAACCCTCACACACACAACACCGCCCTTGGCAGCACACCTGTCATCAATTTTCACAAACCACTCAGCCCCCAAGTTACGGTGTATGCCGCAGCAGTTTGAGACTGTAAAACTGGCTGTGTGGACCCAATCAACAGCCCAAAAGTAGGGGCCATGATGGAGTTGCTCTAACTCCTTGTCCCTGGTCATTCTGGTTTATTCAAGATGCATGCTGGGTGTTTTGTCCCAAATCTCAAGCCCATTGCATCCAGATTATTTCATGCTCCAGTCAAGAAATCATGCATTCTAGGTGGCATCATCATTGGAGGACTTCCCGTCGGATATGGGGCCCTCACAGAAGTCGGTCTAGACCCGAAAATTCTTGATTCTCGCAGAGAAATTTGAATTTCGAGCCTCTAAACCGGCTCTGGGAGACCCGCAGATGTTGACGGGAAGTCCTCCATTGACATACTTATTTGGCCTCTGGTACATACTCCAGTAAAAAGGATCACTTTCCAGCAACAAAAAAGGGGTCCCCTGGGGGATCTATGGCCACCATGGCAAAGCAGCCACAGCGGCAAAGGTGACACCAATTCCGGAACGGACAGTCCTACTCGATGACCCCGACGGGGATCGAACCCGCGACATACTGCGACCAATCCCGGATCCCGGATGATGTAAAGCAGGCATTCTACCACTGAATTACGGAGCCGACGGTGGGATGCGTAAACCGCCGATTCCGAGCGCCGCACCGTCACCGATGGCGCTACTGACACCTCAGCCTATGTGCTATGCAGTAGTGTGCAAGACCTTGACTGACTTGAGTCATAGAGATCTGGATAGAGCTTGTATGTTTATGACTCATACTTGATAGCGGTCTAATCAAGGCCGCTATAGACCCGTTGGCCCGGAGCTTCTCCTCTCCAAGCTCCAGTGGAAGTGACGTGCACACAAGCCGTGGATGGTACTTTAAGCACTTTGGTGTTCCTGCACGATTGATCAAGACTAGACATCGGCTCAAATAATCACCCAACCCGAATCTCGCAGCCTATGTATGGGACGGTGTGCCCACCCGACCGCGGGGCCCCTGACAATCCTATGTAGTCATCATTATGAAATCTGTTGGAGAGCGGTGTGGCCAACTGGAGAGATCAATGGCCTTAGGTAGCCCTCGATTATCCATACAAAACACCACAAAGAGCGGGAAAATTTGCGGTCGGTTTGGGTGGATCAATGATGGATGGGCTTAGTGAGTCCGGTCGTACACCAAGGAAGAAAAAAAAAAACAAGCGATACGAATTACAGACAAAATAAAGAAACAAATCAATCAATAAGCATTTTTTTTTGTGGATGATCAGGATGATGAAGATGAGAATGATAGGGATGGATGGATCCGCGGCCGATTCGTACAGTGCTCTTTTTTTTTGGGGGGGGGGGGTAGTTGGTTATGGTATGTATGTGTAGAACGACAAGAGGGGAAATGGTAAGAACGATAATGATCAGATGTAGTAGTTGATAAAGAAGACCGAGATAAAACGAGCAAGCAGGATTATTAAAAAGGGAGCTAGATGAAAGAGGTGACCAGGATATGGAGAAAAAGGCACGGCCCGGGGACGGTTGGAGCAGGCTTATTTTCTGGAGCGAATTTTGCGGAAGGAGAAGAAGCTCCGGAGTTTATGTTTGAGGGAGGAATGTTTTCCGAGGGAGTGAGGGTCGAGGTGTTGGAGACGAGAGGAGGAAAGGAGACTGTGGTTAGGACTGAGGGACAAGGAGTCGTGGTTATTGAGGTTGAATTTGCGGACTTGGGCGTGATCGAGGAGAGGGTAGAAGACTTTTCCGGGAGAAGGGACGCGTCGGACGGAGGCGATGGAGGGCGGGGCGGACGAGAAGGGATAGTTCTTGTAGCTGTTCAAGGTGAACTTCATGTTCGGATGATGATGATGATGATGTCTGGCCGCGTCTGTTTTCGTCGGGCCTCTCTCTTCAGGGCCTTGTTTGCCTTTACTACTCCTTTGGCCAGGCTTCAGAATGCCGATCGGTTCCAGCTTCTTGTCGGTGTTAGTGGAGGATAAGTATTCGTTGACGACCCAGTCTGGCAGCGAGGCTTTGCGGGGAGATTGGTAGTTGGAGTCGATCGAGCCTCTGCCTAGGAACCGTTTGCCGGGGGTCGGGCTGGGGAAGGGGTCCACACTGCGATATAAGCTGTTATCCATACTAAAACTTTGAAGCGCCTGCTGGGCCTGGTCCATTTGGAGTCCTAGAGGGGTGGGGTCACTAAACCGGACCGATCGATTCAATGGTGTGTTGGACGAAGGTTCGTTCGAGTCTGTTGGACAATAAGAAGGGGTCGTTTCCTTCTCCACGTTCGAGAGGCTGAATTGATGATGCGTCTGAGGACCAGAAATATCTGTAATCTCCTGTCGACGACTGTCGGGAATTTCGATGGTGAGGGTGGGATTGCAGTCGGTCTTGCCCACGGCGTCTTCTTCTTCTTCTTTCTCTTTGGGAGACGGGATATTGACGAAGAGGATTGGCAGCCAATTCAGAGTTGACTGTGAGCAAGTAGTGAGCCAAGAAGTAGACAACTCTTTGGCGTCCGATGAGTCTCTGAATGGGCGCTGATTGCCGGCATGATCAGTCGCTGGACTTGAAGGTTGATTAAATAGCAGGCTAGACCAGCCCAACGTGGGCGACGCTTGATTAGGGGTGCTTGGAAGAATCTTGTTGGGGAGCTTGGCGACGAGAACTGCAAGGGGGTCGTCGTCTTTTCGACAATGGTCAAGGGACTCTGGCCGTTTGGAAGCAGCTAGATCTCGCGATAAACCGGCTGGGGTTGGCGATAATGTCGGGGCGGAGAGTGGGCGTAGCTGGCAAGATTTGCTATCCAGAACTATGGGCAGATTGTTGGCCGCGGCGAAGTCGAATGTGGTGAGGGTATTTGATTTGTTCATTTTTTCTTTAAGAAGATTCTGAAATAAAATAAAATAAAAAATCCGCTATTATTTGAAGGAGAAGTAAAGTAATCGTTAGCGGGAAGGTTAAGCAAGAGCAGCAGTGCCTTTATAGAGTGCTCTGCGAGTGGTGGGTGTCTGTGCGGAGGGTCGCTAAGACACTCGATAACTGGTGATTCGACTGAAAAGCGCCTACAAGACCAGCATGAAGGCTGGATGTGACAGAGTTTGGACTAGGGATGGCTGGCGAAACATACAATACTCGCCATCCCAATGTTGTGACCGACCAGCTTGAGAATGGTTTCTCAGATATAGACTGATCAGAGCGGAGCGGGGCCAGTCAAACTCGAGAATGGAGTGACCAGGAAGGAGGGATTCACAAGCACACGAACACACAAAATATGGCGTGCATGTATTCAGCTTCGGTTGGAGGTTTTCCTATTGAAGCGTTCGGCAATATAATCAGGACAACTAGTTGTCAAAGCTTGACAGAAGCGGGGGTGGCGTCAGTCGATGCCCGGCAAGCCAAGCTCCCAGAGTCCCAGTCACAGATGCGGTGGTGTGCAATCACACCAATTTTGATTGCATGGTCATCAGACCAAAGACGTGCGAATGGCCATCCGTCGGTATGGGACCGGTGGTTTTGACTCCCATGTCGCGGGCCTCATGTGGTCTTCAATCATATGTTGGCTCGTTGAGGATCAGTAACAATTCAAAGACAAGATTGCCAGTGAGGATGGGTTGGGAAGAAAGCTTCATCTCAAGTTCCAGCCAGGTTCCAGGGGGAACTGCTGGGGGCAAACTCTTCACGGATGTTGAGCGAGATTTTGATTTTTGTGGCGGTGATTTGTCTGGCCCGAGACCGCTCCCAATAATTTGGGCAAGACAAACAACCATGTATGGATAGAGCCAATGATTGGACATGACAGCCATGAAATGGGTTGGGAGTAGATAACGGAGACAGGGAATGGAAGCCACAGAGAAAGGTTGGAATGGATTGCCGAGAATCAAGTGCAGGACTCACCCAAATTAAGAATTGTTTAGTTGCTGCTTGGACGACGATATCTTTGGGCTTTCTCTTGATGAGCACAGCTGGAAGAAAAGCGGAAAGATAAGAATCGAATTGACGGGGGTAAGAAAGGTCGTGATCAGAATTGTCGCTGGGTAGGCATACATGAAGGTGCTGGGTGGATGCGGATCCTGAATAAATGAGTCGAAGAACAACAGCTCGGGTTTGGTGGTGGCAACAGTAGCCAGCAGGATGGCGGACTCTGCAGTGCGAAGATGGGTTTTGGTAGCTAACACTCGGGAGGATCTATCGGAAGACTTACATCGACGGAATCACCAGGGGAACGGAACTGATGTCTCTGCAGGTAACGATGAGGAGCCCATCGCCAAGAATTGGGTGCAGGCCCAATCGAGGTCGGAAGTCTGGTCGAAAGGCCAACCGAGCCTTCAATGAAACTTGCTCGATGTTTTGCTTGGCCGGCAGTTTTCGATCGGACTGGAGCAACACACCTCTTAATGAGTCTTGATCTCACCATCCATCGTCCACCTCTTTATTCATGCCCTGCACAACCACTTCAAATTGTGGCCCAGCTCACGTTTCACGAGATAACCAGACCGAAGAAGGGGCCGCCCGAATGAGGATGCCGGGTACATGCATTAGTGCCGATTCCGGCAGTGAGCACACTGATTATTACCGATTGAACTTTGTGGAGTTCTAGTGAGACAATGAACTTGCGCCCCCAAAAAAAGGAGACGAAACAAGTCGGAAGCATTAAGCTTGAGCAAACTGGGTCAAGATACAAAGATTGACACTTCGGCTGTGCATGAATGTGGCCGAGAAGTTAGAACCGATGCCGGCGTCCAGTCGGATTCCGGCTGGACAAACCGCAAAAAAGGCGAGGTATGTATTTAAGTATGTACATACAAAATTGTGGGCCTGTAACTTGGGACTCAATTTTGAAGATTTATCATCTTTTCTGTCTTCTATAGATGTACACAAAAATGGAGATCAAGTGAAATTGATTAGATATGTTGTTGAAATTCTTCACTTCTAGGCCAAAAACTGGCGGTTGGCAACAGCACACTTGTGTGGTGATATGAAAATTTGAAGAAGACAATTTAGGGCCAGTACCATAGCTGGGCACAAAAATTCATTTTTTCAGAATTTATCTTACTCAAATTATCATTTCATCAAAATTGAACATAACCGGAAGCCAGTCATTTAGCATGAAAGTGAAGACTCTCAATTTTATATCTCTCTACTTTGTGTCAAATCTTATGTAGAAGGCAGAAAAAAATGCCCATTTTTCAAAATTGAATCCCACAGACTTACTGGCCCTTGGTGAGATTTTTTTCATAGTGTAAAGTACAGGCCCTTGTGTTTGTTGAGGATGGATCTGAAATAATTTGGGGGCCTAATCGCCCAGTTCACAAATACATATAGCCAGTTCTGATGGCAGCTGATGCATCACCTTGTCAAAATTTGCCAATGGCATTTTTTTCTTTTTCGGGATGGGTCTGGAATAATTTTGGGGACTCCAGAGTCCGGACCATGTAGTCATTAATGGTTTGCTGATCACAGTTACATAGAAATTTTGCTGATGACTGGCTGTTGTGAATTGGGCTGTAAATAATAGGTGTGTTCCTAAGCATGAATGATGTGCTGGTTAAGTATGGCTCACAATCTTGCTGATCACTGTGGCTATCATGAACTGGGCCAGTGTAGTGTTTCAAAATACACCAGGGAGATTTCATGCTCACTAGATGTCAAGTGACATTATGAAAGATTGATTGCTGCTCCCATCTCCAACTCTGCTGTGACCCAATTACAATGGCCCCTTTGGTGCTACAGGGGGCTGAGGCAGAGTTCAGCTGGATATGTTAGCTTGATGTCACTTGTCATCAAATGTTCATTGATTTTTCCAGGTGATATACAGCAAATCTGGCTGCCAAGCTGTCCTAATCCTAACTGGCCAAAAGGTGCAGGATAGCCATAGTCTTCAAGGTGAAAATTCATCTGCTTCTTGCCTCCTTTCTCCGCTTTTGTTGAATCTTGGAGTTGAAAATCTTCCAGGCTTGACTAGATCTCATTCCTCTAGAGAAATACCTATGAATATAGGGGCCTGTCATTTGAATCTGATCCCCAGGGTGTCAGCTGTCAATCTCGCGTAGAGATCAAGCTGGACAAGGACAAGAGTAATAATAATATATTACTATTAAAGATAAGACTAGATACAACGAGATAGAAGGAAAAGGAGGAGAAAGGAGTATTCTTTTTTGGTTATTTGTTTATTTGAGGTTTCTTATATTCTTGGAGAATATTTATAGCCGGTAAAGAAGCCCCTAGGCCTCTATCCCTAAAGGTAGGGATAGGATCAATCAATTATAATGATTGTGATGATTTTTTATCCAGTCAATAGACATGGAAGGGTTATTAAAATCAAACCCAATCATTCATTTAATTTTAGGGGGTTAGTTAAACGACTCCCAAAAAATGGAGAGCCAACTCCCAACCCCCGCAATCCCCGAATTTTGGGAGTCGAACCCCCAAAACCTTTGATTGGTTTGGGAGTCGACTCCCTAAGAAAAAAAAAAAAAAAAAATCCCCGGTCGAATACCCAGGGTAGCGGCCGGGAAAATTCCTCCCGGCCGCTGAGGTACACTCTCAACGGCTGGGAGTTGACCCCTCGGCCATGAGAGTGTACACCTCAATGGCCCAGAGGAATCCTATCGGCCATCAAGGGTACATATACACTCTCTCTCGGCCGTTGAGGTGTACACACCTCAGCAACCGAGACGGTTCCCCTCGGCGTTGAGGGTACACACTCTCAACGGCCGATGGAAACCGTCTCGGCTGTTGAGGTGTGCACAACTAAAGATGGCCCCATGGGACCCGGGTACCCGTTGATACCCGGGTACCGACTGCTTTTTTCGGCCAAAACGGACACCGGGTACCGCACCCGCTCAAGTATGACGGGTACCGGCGGTACTCCTGGCGGGTACCGCCTCGATACCGGAGCTTCTTCCAGGCAACCTGGTTGAGACCAATCAGGTCGCCAAGGAGGGCCCTTACCGGCGACCTGATTGGTCTTGATCAGGTTGCCGAGGAGGGGTCCTCTCCAGCAACCTGGACGAGACTAATTAGTCTCGGTCAAGCCACCGAGGAGGGGGTTTGGGGGCGGGTACCCTTGAAGGTACCAGGGTACCGCCTGCTTTTTTGCCCAAAAGCAGGCACCGAGTACCGTACCCGGCACCACTTGGCGGGTACCGGAGGAGTGAAGGCGGTACCCGCCAACGGGTCCCGGGTACCGCCCAACGGGTACCGCAAGGCCATCTTTATGCACAACTCAGCGGCCGAGACAATTCCTCTTGGCCGTTGAGGATATACACTCTCACCGGCCGAGGGAAACCACCTCGGCCGTCGAGGTGTACACTATTCGCGGCTGGGACGCAGCTCTCGGCCGTTGAGGTGTGCACTCAGCAGCCAAGTTTCTCTGAGTGTACACCTCAACAGCCGTCGAGTGTACCCTCGACCATTGAGGTGTGTACACCTCAAACGGCCGAGACGGTTTCCATCGGCCGTTGAGAGTGTGTACCCTCAACAGCCGAGAGGAATTGTCTCGGCCGTTGAGAGTGTATAGCCTCAACGGCCGAGAGGAATCGTCTCGGCCGCTGAGGTGTGTGCACTCTCACGGCCGAGGGGTCAGCTCCCGGCCGTTGAGTGTACCTGATCAGCGGCCGGGTGGATTCCTCCCGGCCGCTGCCCTGGGTATTTTGGGTCATCGACCCCCAAACCCTGGTCGGTTTGGGAGGCCGACTCCCAAACCGACCGGGGATTTTGATTTTTTATTATTATTTTTTCTAGGGAGTCGACTCCCAAACCAATCAAAGGTTTTGGGAGTTTGACTCCCTTTTTTCGGGGAATCCGGGGCTTGGGAGTCGGCTCTCCACTTTTTGGGATTCGTTTAACCAAGCCCCTAATTTTATATAGTTTATTTAATTTTTTGATGTTTATAAATTAGGATTAATTTTTTAGAGGATCCAAAGCAATATCTCAAATGCGGAAGAGTATCAGTTTTGAAATAGCGGTTAAGGTTGATCTAGGGATAGTAAGAATAAAACAAGAGTCAATCAAAATTACTTATCTCAAAATTAATTATATAGACACTTAATGGTAAAGAGATTAGATAGAATAAGACAATCTGAAAAGGTTATATTGAGATGAGTTATACTAAGTAATTACCTTTATTTTTTGGTGTCTCAAAAGTAATTATGAGAAGTAAGAAGATTTTTATCGCTGAGGAGGGAGGAAGGACTGTTCCGGTCTCTGGGGTTGATTATTTTGTACCAGTCCTTCTTCCAAAGCTTGGTATTGTTTGCATTGCCTTGATTTGATCATCTTGCAAGGCTGAAGTCATCTTTTTGAAGATTGCTTTTAATATTCAAAGGAATTGGAGTTCTTTGATTAATCTTAATTTCAAGAGATCACATATCTGTGAAACCTCTAACATGTAAGTGAAATCTTCATTAATTTCAATATTATTATTTTTTCCATTTGTTTTAAATGTTTTGTGAAACCTTTAGGACATGTCAACATGTCTCTAAGGTTGACACAGGGACAGGTACGACAACCTGGTGGTAAGAGTCAGGACTCAGACCAACCTGCACTATCCTCTGATGGGTTTTCCCATGGAACAAATTCAATCCACATGACTTGTGGGGGTGATTGAAATTTGCACTACATAGTTTAGTTTAAGCTTGGATTTTTTCTGCCTACTGCTAGATAGTCAACCTGGATCCTCTGGAAGGGAATCCTTCCAGTAAGACTGAATGGGGGGGGGCATTTTCTAAATTTTTCAGATTTCAAAAGCTAAGTGTCCTTTATATCATCAATTTGATGATTTCATCTAACTTGATCAGGCTGTAAAACATGATTGACTAGGTTTTTTTACTTCATAGCTGTAATCAAATCATTGATCCTGATTGACCTGCAGAAATTTTTCCCAACAAATAGAGTATTCAAAATTACTCAGCTAGTTGTTTGAGCAACACCCATGCCCCTTTGGTAATGGTGTGTGGCTGACACACCCCTTGAGAAGGGCATGTTAAACACCCTCCCTTTGGCTCGGAAAGGCATGGACATCAAGGAGGGAGAACCTTAACCCCCTTCCCCCGCCCCTCTGCAGGACCTTCCACACTGCTTGTAAAGTCCCGCAGCCATGTTGTCAAAAGTTTAAGAAAGAAGATGTCTTGATTTTATACCATAAGATCACCCTGCAGTCTACAACATGAACCTTTGGTGAAGAATTTGACACTTTTAAACAGACAGAAAAATTAAAGTGGAACAAAAAATCTAGATATTTTGAGTCTTCATGAATCAAACATTATTCCTAACAAAGTGAACCTTCATCTTTTTTGAAATTTCTGTTTTTTTAGCTCATCAGTTCTTGCTATGAGCTCACTCATAAATCTATGCACTTCTTCAGTGTTTTCTAAACGATGACTCGCGATAGAGTGTTTCATATTTGCGCCCACAACCACCGAGTAAAAATGGTCACCCTCCATCAGCTCGTGCATCGCTTCGTCCGTCTGCTTGTCACCAAAAGTAATTCCAAACTCGTATCTGTGGTTGGGTTCTGACAGAATCTTCTCCAGTCGTGGCCCCTTGTTTTGTGATGGATTTGAGATTAATACAACACCCGTTGGTAGTTCTTTGAGAGTAAAAGCGGAGTAATGTTCCTCGCGATCTAGAACAGCATTCAGCTCTTCAAAAAATTTGTCCATTTTCCTCGCTATGATCGAAACAATATTTTCAAATATTTTCATTTTTTTGGAATGACGTTATGTCAATAACACCTCTCAGAGTATGTGTCTGGGTAAAAGGATCTGCGTCTTACGGTCATTGCCTGCGTATGTGAATGCTGCCGAGCTTAGAGTAGGTTTGGGTGTGATTTTGACTCCTAAGCAGATGTTGCAACGAGTGGACACGTTATTGGATGACCAGGATGACATTTCAGAAATTTGAGTTCCATGTTAGCTTGAAGAATTCAACTGGTTCACGCTTTGAGAGTTTGATTATCTTACCATGTCTTTCAGCCATGCGGGAGATGGCGCCACGGAGAAGTCGAGCCTCGGGATACGCAAAATCGTCTTGTTCAACTTTATCACCTTTATTTAAGCGGGCTACTGCCCCGTGTTCAGATCCTACCTTCAAGTAGGCAATGGAGTCGTATTCTTTCATTTCTGTCGGATTTCGCGCCGTGATGACCCAGACACAGTTGTTTCGGTCACTGGCCAATCTCGTCAACAACTCCTTGGCCTTAGCCACGTGTTGGGCGGTCGGACCACTGCCTGGTATTTCGGGATCCTTGTTGGGTACAAGTGGACCCTTGAAACCTTGCTTGTCTCAATATTCGTCTATGTACTCAGAAAAGAAACTGAATCCAAAGGTAAAGGTGCGCTCACGTTATTGTCAAAGACTATCAATGCGCTTGGATATGGTTTTTCGTTTGAATGAAGGTAGCTCCTAGCAAAGTCATCCACGTGATCCAGTGCAGAAGGAATTTGGCCGATGGGTCTTGGCTGGCGTGCGATCTGAGTGAGCGCACCATGTAGAGCTGGGATAAGGTTTATCAAGGCTAACACGATTAGATTGGAGCAAACCATTCTGTAAGGCAACTAGGTGATGGTAATCGATTGAGCGAGGATCACGAAGCCAATGACACCGATTTATAACAATCCCAGTGCTGCCGAAGCCCGAAAGGATTTCGGGTACGCTAGAAGAGCAGGCTCTGAACACTCGTCTTAACGAAACGTGGAATCATGTGGGAAGAAGCTCTTACGGTTTTGCCAAGCATGACAAGTTGAAGCTATCTCTGAAGCAATCCAAGATAACCATATAGTCATCAATATATTCCAGTGTACCTCAAATAAATGTTCCTTCTCATTCACTAAAGAGAGAAGAAATCTTTTGTTGAGACCTCGTTTCGGGATCTCGAACATCCCCAATTTCCACACTTGAGAATCTTTTCTTTCTTGCATCCCCGCCCGACAGCAAGTTGTGGATGAACCCGTACACTGCAAAGCTATAACCGACAGTATCATGGGATCAAATTCACCGGCCGCTACTAGCCATTAATCCATTGTACGCTAGCAGTAGCTGTATACTCATCTGACACCGCACCTCCCCTTAAAATACAACCCAAACCCACGAAACAAAACAAAGCCACCAAAAAAGACAGCATGTTGTTAGGTATCATTGCAATCGAAGAATTGAGATTGTAGTTTATCGAAGATCTCTTCAACCAGGGAGTGAGTGGAAGGCTTCTTTGGCAATTGCCAACTACGCGGTCTGACACGAATGAAACAGGTCAGTGGCTATTAACAATATTGAAACTCACCTGGGGCATTTCAAATAATCTGGATTCCTCAGCAATAAGATATAAAGTTTTGATCTTTATTGCTAAGGAGACAATCTGTACACCGGGATACCCCAATTCAGCACTGAGGAACTAGGATGACTTACACAATTATACTACAACATGTGGTCTTTTGCTTTTAGGAAATGATCACAGAAAACGGAATTCAAATCCAAAAAGTTACTCTGTCTCAAAAGATCAATGTTGGTTTATTATGATACAGGAATCTTATTATCATAACCAATCAGAATTATAGTGTAACGTGTTATAGGCAGTTTCTCAAGACAAAATGACAAAATATGAATTTCAACATAGGTATTTTCTTCTCTACAAAATGGCAAAAGTATTTCAGATAATGCAGCATTGTTCAGGAAAAAAAAGGCTAAAACCCCTCAATACTGCCATCTACCATTGACCTTCAGCTACCAATGACCTACAATGACCCCTTTGAACCCTTTAAGGGACTGCAATCAATTACAATGGTGTGGATGATAGGTAGAATGCTGAACTTGGCCTGATTTCATCTATCATCTAGTGATGATTTAAATTCTTCCTGGTGGATCCTTGTGAATAAATTGTCTTCAAAACACAGAACAGTCTATTAATTATTCATATGAAAAAAATGGTCATAGGAAGAAATGATAATATTTTTTCAAAGAAACCATAAGGACCCATTAATTGACCAAACAAAACCAATGTAAATCATAAAAATGGCAGATGATCACAGAATATTATCATTTTAATAAATAGCAGATGATCCAATGATCAGAGGGAAAAATAAACCATCAGTGTATCACATGATGTGGTTCCTCATTTTTGGCATACACTATTTCACAGACACTGGGTCCCTGGGAGGGGGAAAGAAATGTGTGCATGTCATTGTCCTCACCACAATTTGGAAGTATGGGTAGGGAAAATGACTACAGCAGGCTTTGACAGTTGTGTTTCCATCAGACCTGATCATGAGTGGCAACAAGTATTCTCAATTCCCGGTTTTGGTTTGGGATTTCAGATGACCTGCAACTCATTTTTCGCAAGTTGTAATTAATTACCCTCAAACCGCAAGGCTGGATTTAAATACTTTTCTTGGGCTTCAAGTGTACCAAAGCCATGGCTCGTTGTTGTTCTTTTTTTGCACTTGATTTTAAGAGAGCATTGGTCCGATAAGCATGACTGGGAAGGCTGGATGATAATGATTGATCAACTTCCTGCATAATTATTTGGGTGAGTTGAGTTATGCATGTAGGACGAGATCATCGAGACTGAATACCGATCCAAGAGCTCTTGGCCCGTCAGTAAGTTTCCACAACCTTCGCTCAAAGATTCAGGGGGTCGGGGCGGGTACATAGGAATGGACGCCGGTCAGGACAGGTCAGGACGAGGGCAGATGATCGAGAATGGTCTTTGGGCTCGGATATGCTGCATGTATTGCGGCTGGATAAACCTTTGACACCATTCTTTAACTGAAACATGCACTCCCATACTCCCGAGCGTCCAGGGGCAGGGGTGGATGGGCTGGGCCCAGATGCTTCGGCCATTCAGGTTCAACTTCGACTCGGACTGGCTGGTCTTGTTGATGTGTCCTTTGTGTTGCTTCGACTTCGACGCCTTTGCTTTCGCTGGCTGAGTGAGTGCTCTTGGGGAAAGAAAACAGTCTGGACTTCGGGGACGGGCCGCCCGTCCCAGATGGCGGGTGCCATGCCCATTGGCTCGACCCAGCCATCGATGGCCTGGCCGCTGCCAGCCGTGACTGTGATAAGCCAAAGGGGGATGGCTTGCTGGGTCAAACTTAAATCTGATACATAATTATGTACTTACGGACTGTGAAACGCTAATGATCATCCTATGTATGCACTTACAGAGCGGCATATCTATGGACTTACAGAGCCCCGCTGCAAGTATATAAGACCCGCCTGCCACCCCTCCCACTCCCCCCACTCAGCCCGGAGACCACTATTTAACACACCACGCCATCACCATCTCACTATCCTCACGAACTATTTTCCGGCTCAAGCCACCATCCATCGACCAGGACCGACGACCCGATACCACCATATATATAAATATATATAAATAAGCTTTATCCAACAAACAACCATGGATTCCTCATCCCTTCTCCAACTCCAATCTCAGCGCGTAAGCTTATCGTCTCTTATCATCCATGCTTTGATCCACGAGACCACTAACTTATTTGCCTCTTCGTCCAAAGGTTAACCAATCCAACGAGGATCCACAATTATCGGTCAGCAAAGGGCTCGAGTTTGATTGCTCGATGCCTGAATATGACCGATTCAATTCGACAGTCGAGTGTCACGAGGATAAGCATCTCGCGGACGTGCTCTGTGATTCAGAGCAACCGAAAATGGACGAACTCAAGCTCTCAATTCCCATGCCGAACTTTGTAAGCCCCGCCCAAACCTTAAAAAGTCACGTCTTCAAATTTCAAACAGAAATAAACCCACTGACTGATGATTCTTGCTTGTCCTCTTTTCAGTTGATTGATCCCCAAGATGGTCAATTTACGCCATACTTTGAGCGCTCGCCTGTTTCGACCCCAGACCACGAATTTGACGGGCCGAATTACTTCGAGCATGCGAACACCTCCCGAGACTCGTCGCCGGACTCAGTGATGAGTCCTTTACGTTCGCGAGCGACCTCGATAGCCTTGAAGAAGCTGATGGAGACCCAGGCTCAGATGTTACTTGACATCAGTGCGGCATGGAAGAAGAAGTACCCGGTGGACTTTTCCTACGAGCCCCGAAGCGTGGCCAACGATGACGGATCATCTGTCGCTAGCAATCACTGTATCCGCCAGTCGTCCACCAGCCAGATCAACTCTCTCCTCCCCGCCAACTCCATCCTACCCGCCTCCCAGACTCCCCGTAAGAACCGCTCCATGTCCCAGAGATCCTCCGCCTCCCTCGTCTCCCTCGTCGACCGTCTCTCGCTCAGAGACCCCAGCAAGACTACTCTCTCCGCTGACGTCGAGAGCTGGAAACGCGACGCGCTTCAGTCTAAACTCAAGGAACAGTCTACCAGGAGCTGGATCGACTGTCTTCCCCTCTCCGACGAATTCGAGGACCCTTCTGAATCCCTCTGACAAAACTTTCTCATCTCTCTCTCTCTCTCTTCTATTCTTCCCAAAATAACCCCCCTCTTATAAGCCACTCTCCTTTGCTCCGCTTTGTCCTTTACTTCGCCCTTATTCTTCCTTGTTGTCCTTCTATATACATCACTCTCTTTCCCACCACTTCTTCTTCAATCCAAACCACCACCACCCAAAAAAACATTAAATATAAATATATGTATGCATTGACATTATCTTCTCTTTTTTTTTTCTGATGTGTTTGTGACTAGCCTATAATGCCTTGCATCACGGTGTCTCCACTCACTCTTCTTCTTTCTCTCCCTCTTTTGTTCAGTGTTTCTCTCCTTCCTATAAAAACAAAAAAAAAACAATCTTGACTTTTCTTCATGTTTCGACAACATTCCTTTCGTTTTTTTATTCTTATTTTATTTGATTATGAACGAACCTCTTTTCCTTTCTCGTAGTACCATCTCTTTGTTCCCCCCACCCCTCCACGTTTTTGTCCTTTCTTTTGTTTGTCTTTGTGTTTTTTTTTCTTCATATGTCATCGTTGTTTTGGTTTTTTTTTTTGGTTGATCGTTTGATAATAAACAAGATCATCATCATCATCATAACAACGCCAGAGGGAGTGTGTCAAGCTAGGGTCACGGGTCTTTTATTCTACAAACTGGTCAAACCATGTCCTTTTTTTATCGCAGGCTAAACATTTTTTTTTGATGTTCTTCCCATAATGACCTTTTGTTTCCTGCCGTTATTTTCTCTCAGACTGAAGCTACCTAATGACTATATTTCACAGGGAACTGCCCCTGACAACTGGGCTATGTAATATGTAACTCAACATCAGTCTCTCGCTACATTCCTCTCGAGAAGCATTTCCAGGACAACTGGGTTTGTTCATTTTTTTCGTCTTGCACAAAATCAACTAGGTGAGATTTTTGTTTTATTCGATCCTGAACGAATCTCTTTTCTTTTCTCGTAGTATGTACCATCTCTTTGTTCTCTCCCCCCCCCCTCCTCCACTTTTTCGTCCTTTCTTTTGTTTGTGTTTTTGTTTTTCTTTTCTTCATATGTCATCGTTGTTTTGAACTTTATTGTTAGAAAATAAACATTATTATCATCATCGTAACCAGGCCGATAGAAGTGTGTCAAGTTAGGGCCACTGGGGTCTATGATCCTACTGACTAGCCAAACCATGCTATTAGAAGGGATCATCACACACACCCCTTTTCAATGTTCTTCCCACATAGTCCTCCTCTCTCCCGCCGTTATTCTTTCAGACTGGAGGTATTGACTACATTTTCCGGGGAACTACTCCTGGCAACGGGGCTAACTCAACATTGGTCTCTCGCTACAATCCTCTCGAAAAGCATTTCCAAGACAACTGGGTTTGTCTTTTTTTTTTGGTCTTTGTGTCAACTAGGTGAGATGGCTATATTTTACAATTATCATGAGATCAAAATTCCTTTTTGGGTTAAACTTAAGAAGTATTCCTTCCTGAAAATGACATCCTTTTTTATCGTTCAATTCAAACAGGAAAAAATGAAGCAAGTTTGAGTTGTTGTCAAATGGTACTTCTTCAAGGCTCTGTGGAAATTAACCCGCAACGCCTATGGGGGAGACCCCATTCCTTCCATCGGCGAACATTTTTCTAGTTTCACATGAATGTTCATCTTTCTAGAAATGAGCTGGTCAACCACCGAGTGTCCTCGTTTGACTTGAAGTTTTATGTTAGATTAGAAAATCCCAACGATCAGTACTCCTGCTTTCATTCTATTCGAGTATTCAACGGTTGCAAAGCATGATGATGAGTTAGACTTACAAGTTGGACAGGATGTTGTGATAAAAGGATCCGGAAACGGAGGAGCAGGTTTGGGTTTCTTGGGCACCGGAGTTTTACTTGCAGAGTCGGTTTGATTACGGTGTGCCTCTTCTCCCAAATGATGTAGCTTGGAATGATCGACTGTTTCTTTCATCACGTGGGTGTTGAAGCTGAATTTCGCTTGTCCATTTCCAATCGAAGACAGGGCGCCACCTCTGTTAAATACTTGCTGGACCATCAAACACACAACCATCACAGAGGCTATCAAGGCGAACATTGACCTTCTGCGTCGGCACATTCCTTGCATCTGGATTATCTAATTTTCTTGTGATCACTATTTATGACGTGCTTGTGGGGATGATAATGTTTCCTAACAATAACCAAGATGATGTATAAAGAGGAGTTTGGGAGCTTGCGTGTCATTTGCCGCCGGGCACCCAACACACTCCTGATAGCAATAATATGGATATAAAATGCATCAATGATTATACGTTGTGTGTGGGGAAAAAATAAAAAGGTGGGCCTGATCAAGGAGGGGCAAATCACCTCCATGATGTCGGATTGACCCGAATTAACGGCCTGGGAAGTTGCATGTTCAAGACAGAACCTGTGGAAGCGCCTCGTCCAGAAAAAATCACTTATTTTAAGAGTTTTTTCCACCTCCAAATGACTTCTCATCCGAAGGTTTAATCGAGGCGATGGCCGATGATCAGGGGTCAATACACCCAGACAGGAATCGGGTTGGCAGCAAAAGAAATTATCCAGTATCCATGTGTATCAAAGCCGGCCGAAACTATACCTACTATATGCCACTACTTGAGCCTGTCTATGAGACGAGTTTTAGCAAGCTTGGATGACTCAAAAGCTTGACAAACAGCCATGAGGTTACACCGAAAGGCACAGCGGTCACTACTATGGATCATCATAGGGTTATTGGTCTGGAGGTTCAAATGCTATAAACGTCATTTTTGAGGGTAATTTGTCTCTTTAAATAATCTGCTTCAAAGATCAACTTCGCAACATGGGATGATTAGGCTGACAGGGGTATAAAGATATCTACATGTAAGAGAAAGTGGATTTCAAAAGAATGAGGGGTTTTCCATTTTTAGGTCGTTCATAACAATTCGTATATTCGTAAAGTCGATAGGTCTAAGATTTCGGCGCTTTATGAAACATGGAGGAATATCCGCCTGAGCCCTTTGATTTTTCATGTTTACGATCGTGAGGATAACAAAGTTTTTTGACACTCTGGGCGGTCATGGTCCGGATCTGTAGGGAAAGAGAGATCAGCCTTTATCCTGATAAACACGTCGACCCTTTGAAGATTGATTGGATTAGTTTTTTTTATGGTGATCTCCAAACGCACCAGAACGTCGTGTGGAAGATTGCAACAGTACCCTCGTAGTGGGATTCGATCGCGCCTGATCGTCCGGAAGGCGCAAGTAAAACCCTTGCCTTCAGGCTCGGCGTCCGTCACTAGGAAAAGAAATTCGTGATGGTGCAATGTTTCAGTAAAAGCCGGCGTATTCGAGCCGATGGATTTCAGTTTACAACAAAAGCTTACAAAGGAACTTTTTCCCTGTCAATTTTCGCCTTAAAACTACGTCGTAGTGATCCTTGTTTCTTATTTCCCTCAAGCAAACGCCAAGTTTAGCCGTGGGTCTCGATTTGTCGTCGCATAGAAATTTGGAATGAGTAGCGTCACTAAAAACTAGTAGAAGCAAGCAAATACTGAAAACGTTGAAAAATTGCATTATTGATCGAAGATAATCACTCGATTTCAATAAAGGAGGCCGATATAGACTGTCGGGAAAAGTTAATGATTGATGAAGACGTGACGTTAGATGGGAAATGAAGAGCCAGGTGGTGGGTGCTACTCTAGCCAACCACACCAAAAAAGTGAATCCGGCAAAATTGCTTGTGGGGAATATTCATTACATACAGATTTAGTATTGGGGGCGCGATACAAACCTCTGGCGCTCGCTTCATAGCTGTATGAATGGTGCCGCCAAGCAAGGATTGAAGAGAGAGAGCACATGAGAGACGGTAATACTAATACCTTGCAACGCATCAGAATACTGGGTGTTAAGTTCACGTGATCAGCCAAGGCCAGCCAACCCGCCGGGTTTGCAGCTGTTTGCAGGCCGAGCAGCGAGGGACCCGCCTCAAGCCTCGAAGACATTGCATCCAAAGGGCTCTCTTCGCCAGCCAGGCTGACCTGGCGACCATGGCTCTCTTTGTAGGGCCTGGTATAGCCCGTAGCCTGGCTGGCACAAATCGGTGCACATTTGGTTACTCACATCATAGATCATGACCGGCCTTTGAACCATTTGGACCACATGCTTCTCTCCATTCTAATGTGGCACTTGTCTCCGTAAGAGTGATCTCACGACCGGGTAGTCTTTTCAACACCCATCAGGTTTCCTTGCGTGTTGAAGATTGTAATTTGTATAACTGCACATCATGCTGTATTCTTCTCTTCCTCCATCCACTGCCATTTGTAGTATTCAGCATCAACCTAGAAGCCTGTGTTACAAATGTGATCACTTATTTCTCTGCCTTGTGAAATTTATTGCAAACTTCCAGTTGTAGCTTATCTCATTGTAATTTGGATGGCTCAATTGATCATACAAAAGAAACCAATTATCCAACCCATCTTGCTGTAAAATGTAGCAATCCCCGTGTTTCAGAGTTATACCCAAAATGCCAGGAATCCCAACAAATTCATAAGGTGAATGAAGTTTTTCAATTTTCTTTTATCTCTGAATTTTCGAGGTGTGCATCTCAGGTCAGAAAATTATTCGTGCTACAAACTTACACATCTCATTGCATTCACATGCTACAGATTATGCAGTACACGAACACAGCAGGCAGACATGGAAGGGTTACTCTCCTCATCCCTCCATAAAAATCTTGTATGCTGGCTCCAGTCATGCAGACTGCTTTTCTCTTTCTCTTTCTTTTTTTCACTAATCTGGTGAAATGAATGCCTCCCTTCCACAAATTTTTATTCCACAGGCTCTATCTCAACAAGAATCAAATAACAAGAAGCTCAAAAATTGATTGCACATGATATTCCCAAGGAATAAGGACCTCCAATATTATACATATGAAAGTGTTGTTCAAATGTAGATAATTCAATCCAGTTGTGCCCATTTCAAACCATTCATAACACCAACATGGTCATATTAAACAAGGATGCTGTTACTATCAGTATCAAGGCTAAAAATTTTGTCATTGAATGCTAAAATATTGACTCAAGGTAAAAAGGCAAGCAAAATGGTGAGCTGACCAAATACTTCCAACAGGCAAGCTAAAAAAAGTGGGTGTTTCAAGTTTTTTTCTTTTTCTTTTTTCTAACACAGCTCACACAGCTCACATAGGAAGAACTTGGGTGCATCAGATTTGAAAGAGAAGAGCTGTTTTGAAAAAACTCATGTATCCTTGCAATTTATTTCAGTCCTTGAAAGCTAATGATTTAATTTGAAATATCCCCAAGCCTGTGGTGGGTGGACTGAAAATTGGTAGAAGGTATTTACATGCAGAAGAAAAATATGGAAACAGGGGGGAAGGCTTGAAGATAATTTTGCCTTCCATATCTCGGATGGGATGTATTGGATCATTTAAATGACAATTCTATGTTACAAGAAATGGTTGGATGGGTTCAAAACTGACAGTTTAGAATTTAAGTACAAGGGAGGCAAGAGGACTGTATGTGAAGCTTGTGGCTGTTATATTTTCTCTTCGCGAGAGTAGCACAGGACCTGCAGGTCTTCAGTGGTCCAGGCTTGAATCTGCATCGAAAGAAACATCAATTCCTTGCAGATACATCGAGGTTTTCAACATTAGCTATTATATTTAGTGATGAGAAACGCACCGGCTGTTTCATTACGTGAATATTACAACAGTGCCTCTCGAGTGGGTAAGAACCCTCAATCGCAACCTCGGCGCAGGTGAAATGATGGGCTTTACCCTTTCTGGCCGCGGTTGCTGGATAATTATCATGAACAGAAAATGCGTGGTTAATGTGTGATCAGGTCGATATATGCCCAGCACGGCTTACCAAGATAATTTTTGCCCTCCAATGGTACTTTCAAATCCACATTATGGTGATCAGGTTCCAGTATCTTCCTCACACAATATCCAACTTTATCATGAGGCTTCGAATCGTCATTGCACACAAATGTTGAATTGCTAGCTTCGCTTTGTATTAGAAGCAGTACCGATATCTTAAAGAGACTGGTGATCCGCATTTTTGTTGCGGGGATCGATAGGATTGATTGAGAAGGGCGATGTTGCATCAATTAGTTGGGAGATAATATGTGATGGTGGTGGAAGTGGGGGCCTTGAGAATAAATTGAATCTTGCGGCTGCAAAAGTTTCCCATTCCTTTAGCATCACACTGGCTCAGCCCTCAGGGCCTATCCCTGTGCCGATATAAATGGAGTTCATTTGCTCGGCAACTTGGCCATGCAGCTCTAGATGCATCTCCTTGGTTATCGAGTTTACAGGTCCGTTGTTGGACAAGTCAGTTCGTGGTTGCGCGAAAGAAGTCCAACTCAACAAGTACCAAGGTTGGCCAGATTGAGGTATTTCCACGCTGCGATTAACCAATGGCTCTGCTGTTACGATTCGGTGTTTGCCTGTGTGAGGAAATGCAGATGCCTGCTACGATCTGCTGTTTGATCTCGGCACACGAAGCAGGCAAACCCGGGTTCTGATCACCACATTTGTGCGAGCTGCCAATGCCACGGTACACATTTTAGTCAGGTATGGACAGTTACACAGTAGGCCTATAGATTAGAACCCTGATGCAGTCATCACAGCGTGGTGTTAATCCACCACCGAACTTGACCCTGACAGCGGGAAAAAGAAGCCACATGGATCAGCATGTATGATCAAGCGCAATAGATTCTTGTGGGGGATGGGCTAAACTGCAAATTCAATGAGGGTGGTGGTGATTATCCTACAGTTGAGCACGGACCCGCAACCAGGCTCGGTCACTAACTTATCGCAGTCCTCCGCCGCTTAGCTTCGCTCCGGGGCGAGCCGCGACTTAAGTGAGGAACAAGTAGGCAGGCGAGGGACCTGGATAATTTAGGATTGGTCACAAGAGTTGCACGTCGGGTGATTTGACTGATTTCTGATTCCAGTCCACTTGTTCCCTCTTTTTTTCTCGCCAACCTATCCACAATGCATATTATTCCACTTTGCACGATTTATCAAAAAATAAGAACAGTGCGCAATGTCAAATCAAACTGCACTTAAAAAAAAAAAAAAAAAAAAAAAAAAAAAAAAAGAAACTATGGTATGTATCTACATCCAGGTACTATGGTAAACAGACACATGTCCTGATACCTGATTAAGCCTTGTTGGTTGCCCATATTGCAACGTTACCAAACAATCTTGCAATATATGGACGCATGGAGCCGGCCCAGCCGTGGTGGAAAACTTACGGCGCGATGCCGATAGCTATCTATTATGTATGCCGATTGAGCAGGATTGAGCCCCGTGCCGATGGGGCCCGATTGCAGACAAGTTTTCTGACGTGTTTAAAACAAATCTGTAAACCAATGGTGATCTTAAAAAGTTTCCGAGTCAACCTTATGTGATGCAGTACCCCGATCCTAGTAGAGTAGCTGTCTGGAGGTTGACTGATCCTATCTTAGCGCGTTGTTCGGAATATATAGTGCCTTATCTAGGCTTCTGTATGTAAATACCGACGTACCACTCTTCGAGTCTCTGATACAAAGATCACGCTCATTAGACTAAGCTCCCGACCAAGCACACAATGAGTCACTGTTTCCGCATAGCCTAAAAGCTTGGCAGCTATGGTGTTGCTTAGGTTGAAGCGGATCTTTCTGATCATTTGAATTTGAAATTGTGCAATGCTCACTATCAGCATCCAATCTGTGCCAGTGGAACTAACATAAAGAACCTGATCAAGAGGATCAACTCGGGAAGGATTTCCCCGTCCAGCATTCATCCTCAGAAAATCAGGAAGTTGATCTTTCTGTAAAATAATCATTCTTGCCTTGGAGCACCTTCCAATCGTAGCTCAATCAGCCGTAGGATATAAATTTACTATTGTTCACCTAGTGTGTTCATTCCTTGAAGTCAAGAAGTAACATAGTACTTCTTTCGAACTTTTCACCATCTCACTTGTGTTTGCTGCTGGAGAACTGGATCCTCCGGCCCCATTACTTGAGTTTTTCTCCGGTTGATTCCTAGACGCAGCTTTCGTCAACAGTTATCTACCAACGATAGGGGGCTCTTCTACCTCTGAAGTCCTCTTCAGACATCTACATCAGCACATTGTCCCACCTGCTAACGTCTTGCTGCACAACCACTCATGACGCCCCCTTCACGGAGATTCACGATTCAGCCTCAGAGCTGGTCCTCTGAGGATGAACTGTCGGCTCCTCCGACTGTCCCGATTTCAAATCGAAATCGAATGATCAAAGAACGGGAAAAACCCCTCCAAACTATTGACACAATTCAACAACTGGCCAAGGATGGATTACAAGTTATAGAATGTTTGAACGAGTGCGACTCCTGTAAGTTCTACTTTGCTTTTCCTACTTCGCCATTTCTGCATCAAACTGAGTATCGATCCTTTACTATCATGTTGGCAGTCATAGTCACCGATTCCAAAGCTGCCCGCGCCCGAGAAATCGTGGAGCAGTTTCGCCGGGAAACGCTTTACCATCACCAGCCGAACCCAGCGGCCAACAAAAATTCCACTTCTGCGTTCCATCCTCAGCCCTTTGATCGGCTGATCTACTTACTAGATCGCTACACGGAGTATTGCGCTTCCATTGGCTTATCAGCATGGCCTCTGCACCATCTCAAAGTCGCGATCTGGATTAAGGGCGACGTCATCTCGCTAAAAACCCGGGTTATCCCTCTCCGGAAGACTGTTCGTTGTTACATTACAACCATGGAGACCGTCAGAGTCAAGACTCGACATTTATTTCCCCAGTCTTACGAGGGGGATGACAAGCCGTTGATGTCGTGTCCCATACTCAAAGAGCTCCTCGACGTGTTACCCATTAGCCGTTCCGCCAGCCATGATAACCCGACTCCCGAAGGCGAAAGCAGAATGTCTGGAGGGGTAGATCGGGTCGTATTGTTAAACCAAATCAGAGGAAAATCTGGAGGTAAGTTGAAGTCATTGTGCTATCCGATCAAGACAAAGAAAATTCTGACCCTCCTTTTCGTGATTAGACTCGAGGGCCGAAGAAGCCCTGGCTACTGTCCAAGCCTCACGAAAAAGTGCAACTCCTGGGGATGGCTTGCGATACGGCAAGAAAAAGCCCGACCCACACATGCACACTCTCTCGCGTTACATCAATTTTTGTCGCTCCCTGTCGATCCCGATGTGGCCGATAGAGCCAGTCAGGGTAGCCCTGTGGTTGAGAGAATCAGTTCTCTCACCCGCCTCGTCAGACTACAACGGTTTCAAAGTTTCCTTGAGAACAGTCCAAGTTTATCTTTCTCGCTTAGAATACGCTAGGGCCAGAACCGAGCCGCTCTTCAAGGAAGAATTTGGTGAATCGGCAACGGGCTCCTTGTACAGGAGCCAAGCGATTGGCGACATTCTAGAGTCTTTCAATCCCAACCAGGCTCAAAAACTTGGGATGCTGACCGATGCATTCCAGATGGAAGGTTCCTTGCATCTTTCCCCAGTCCTCGGAAAGAGAAAGATTGGGTCGGAATTATTTTTGGACGAGGCCGCAGCCTATAATGAAGGATACCGTCACTGTCGCCCCAAGGTCTCCTGTACCCGATCCTCTCTTGCCACTTTATCCTCCGAGGATAGCGACTCGGAACGGGAAAACGCAATCTCGTCAAGAAGTCACTCTCCCTCACCAAGCTGCTCGGTTTCGTACGGATCTCCAGCGCCCACTTCCAGCGAGCAGGAATTTCCGAGCAGGTCTTCATCATCTACTCACTCTCGCAAAGGGTGCATTTCGTACATCCTGTGCTCCGAGCCAGGCCCGAATCTCTCCTACGAGTCTTCTCATCAACGCGAGCCTTCCATTTCCGATTCTGAATGGTCGAGCACCTTGAGCTTCTCCACTCCCGCCGAGTGGTCTGTTCCTCCCATCAACATCCCCCGCATCGACAACGGCCAAGCCCGATTTGCGATACCCTCTTTCGATAGCTTCAGCTTTGCTCTTTCAAAGTAACACATGGTGCGTCGTAGCTCATTGGCCTAACATGTCGACTCAACTCTATCTGATGTGTATTGTATCATCAGTTTAACGATATTCCTCATTCCGACTCACTGTACATCTCAACGCACGAAAAACTTTTAGCAACGCGTATGCTTGCAATCTTCTGCCTGCTGGTAAGCGAATTGAAATAAAAAACCCAGGAAGCGGAAATTCCAGAATACACGATTGTAAACTATTGATGGGGAAAGTGTTACAACCCATCGGTCTCCAAGCCGTAGTCCAATCATATCACCGCTCCCTAACTATCCGTGTTCTTCCCCATCTGTCAAATATTTTTGTATACCTAGTTTCCTTGTTGTGTTTTCTTTATTCTATTCAACTACTACTCCAAATGAACCACAAACAACATTTGTATGCGACTTGATTGTAGAACAAAATATGTCATATTTTATCTCCTTAGAGCATCCACATCGGTTGAGTGGATTAGTGAGCCTCATTAATCCGAGGATTAGCGGGGTATAAATTCAATACCCATTAGCTCCAAAACTGACCCTGGAGCTAACCTAATCCAATCTCTAATCCCAACCGGTATGGTTGGGAGGATGAGATTAGGCAGCTTATCCTGCCTAATCCACACACTGATGTGGATGCTCTTAAGAAACAAAAAACTTCAGAATAACCAGATGTATGTAATGCAAATAAACCAGGCTGAATATGTAAAAGCTGTAGCTCACATTTTCTCATAGGACATGATTGAAGGGTGTGATTCATACTTAAGAATGGTTGCAAGGCCATTTATCATCAAGCTCGGGCTGTCAAGAATGCTGAATAATACAAGTGTAAAAAGCACCTCCTCCAGCATGTAGTCAACACATTTAGCCCTTTGTGCAATTTTGCTGATCTTGTTTTCCATGCACTGACTTTGATGTTGCCAATAATGAGCCAGAAGATCAGGCTTATGTAAGAATTGAAGCAACTAAGAGCAGGGCAGGACAATGTACTGGTGTTTTTATTCTTGGAAAAGAAGAAGAAGCGCAAGAAGTGTTATATTCCATTCCTACTCTAAGCAATCTGACACCCACTCTGTGTAAGTCTTGATCCTGATATAATGATAAGCATATGAAAATAAGACTTATCATCCCAGGATACAAAGCATTACGATGGAAAATGTCTAGATAATGAGCCCAGCAAGCATTAGCGCACTTAGCTTACACCACGGACATTTGCCTGTCACTCCCACCCAGAGCAACATCTGGGGGTTTTAGTGGGGTTTTGTGCGCAGTGACTGCACATACTGCGGCAGTCACGCACGCAGATTCGTCAGGATGTTGCTCCCCCCTGGAGCGACAGGGAATTGTCCGTGGTGTTGGTGGTTAAAGCATCACTCATGAAGTTTGGGGTCACAGGTTCAATTCCTGTAGTGCACATCTATTTTGGTTTCTGACAAGAAGGAAGAGAAAGAGATTAAAGATACTGTGTTTCAATGAAGCATCAACTAATGTTAGTGCTTCAGCGAGATTGAGTTCAAGTGAGAAGACCTGTCTCGTACTTATTATTAATGTAAGGTTTTTTTGTTCCTCCGAGGTTAGATTAAGTATGTCGTGCAATGGATTCTTGCCTGCTAGATTTAACACTGATGTCAGCCCATTATCCCTAACGTATACTTCCCTGGTGAAGTAATTAGCTTACTTGTTGTTTGGTTGACTGATACGAGTAGCAAGGGGTAATGGAGTTTGTTGGTTGGATAAGTGACTGTGGGTTATTTTGAATGAGAGGGCAAATGATCTGATCAGTCTGAGGAATTTTTCCTTGCTGGTTAGATCGAGCTCCTTAAATACTCATGGTCTTGGCCTATTGATGCCCTTGGTGGGCTTGAGGGCGAGGCTGTCCAGTGCCAAATAGGAAAAGTCCCTGGATGGTTTGTGACTCGTTTCATCTGTTTTAAGATCAAGGGTTCACTTGAATTAGTTCTCACGTTTTGCCTCATTTGGACTTGGACACATGGACACTTATTTTGGACAGATAGAGTTGAAACACTCTCTGTGTCACGCAGGGTTGACGGCGCCACCTTTTCAAGAGGTGTGTGCCTAGCGGCGCCTGTGAAACTGCCAGAGCATGGCACCTTTGGCTGGCGGCGCCCGGGCGAGCTGGGCGCCGTCAAAAAAAACGCAAAAATCAAGGTTGAAAGTGGCATTATTTGTTTTTGTTTTTTTTTGTAGAGGCAAGACCTCTGCTACAATGCATAGTGCTTGTGTCAGAGGCCATAACTGCATAATCCCAAGTGGTGAGAGACTTATATGGGAAATTTTAAATCCATAAAAAAATTGAATCCGGTCTAATCCAGTTAGAGATGGGCGGGGATAATCCGCTGCGGATATCCACTATCCGCTGGCAGATACCCGCCAGGGCCAGCGGATACCCACCAGAGGATGCGGATTTGGGTGCGGATGTCCTTTCCCCCCCAAATCCCGGCAGATATCCGGGTATCCCCTGGGATACCCAAGACCAATGGCCGGCTGGAAGGGTTTCCTTCCAGCCGGCATGGTCTTCCAGTTCGGGCGAGGCATGTACCTCGACGACTGCAAGGGTCGTCTTCTTGCCGGTAAGATCGTGTCTTCCCCGAGTGGAATGGTAACCACACTACCCTT